TTTCCTTCAAGGCTATGTTCTTCAAAGTCGCTCACAACACTCCCTGTGAATCCCACAGTAGGACATCCCACAAACCCTTGCAGGAGATGCGTCCAGGTCAATTGTTGTCCCTTCCATGTGAACGCTAGTACGAGTTGGCTACCCGCCTCTAACGGAGTGCTAAAAAAGGCGGCAGTCAGATCAATCACAGTAAAATACTTTGCCCAGTGCAGTATTTGACAAAGTATGTTATAGAGATCGGGTACTGCTGGGTGTGGAGTTTCTACATGCTGATTATTTGCCCTTAAGTCTTGCCCAAAACAGTATTCTGGATCCACGTCTTTATCTAGTCTGGTTTTTTCCACGGGGAGTATAGGGGTGTTATATGGTGACACGCATACTTTCAAAATCCCTTGTGCCAGGTATTGATCTATCTGCTTTTGAATGCTTTTCTCAGCCTCTTGGGAGATAGGATACTGTGTTACAGCTGGTGGAGTTCCTCCCTTTATTTTTATGTTTACAGGTTGAGCCGAAACCAACAGTCCTATATCAGTGCTGGTTCTACTTCACAATTTTGTGGGTATTGTTTTTAATACTTCTGGTAACTCATCTTTTTAATTTCCCACAATCGCACTCATTCCCATAATTATGAGATCTGTCCCCTCAGGTGATAGTTGCAACTCCACATGCAGGGTCTGTATGAGACCCCTTCCCAATGAACATGCTGGGGAGTCCTTTGCCAATATGAACCTGCCCCTAATGCTTTTATTTCCAATTGTCACCAACAATGGCTTACTCAGAATTCTTTCTCCTCCCCCTGCTGCTCCCTGTATTACAACTCTGTTTTTGGTTTTAGATCCTTTTGGAGTAAAATTTAAAAGGGATAGGGTAGCTCCCATATCTACTAAAAATCAACTTCATGACCTCAGACTTTACCAATTATATACCCTTTGTGATTTAAACGATTTTCCCACATACTAGAAATTCCCAGCCCCTCTGATTCTTCAAAGTCTTTTTTGGGTTTGGTTTGGTTTGGTTTGGTTTTCCCCTTCTTTAGTCATTGTGAATGGTTGTCCCTTCGGGGTGGTTCTTCCTACCAGTAGTTTTCCTTCTGTATCAGCCCACGGGGATGAAGCAGGCATTCTCGTTGCAAATGTCCCAGATTTCTACAATAGTAACATTCCCTTCTGTGATTTTCCCTCATACTTTTTTTTTTTCTCTGCTGTCTGCCTGAGGTTTGAATCCTCTGCTTGATTCTCCCCCCTCCCTGTCTCTTACCTTTCACTTATAAATTCCAGGCGAAAGCTGCTGCCAACAAATTGATCTCCTGTTCTTTTGTCCTCCTCCTTTCTTTCATTAATTCAACTTTCTGCTTCTCTTCACAACCATCATACACAAACACAGCCACACACAGAATCTTTTGCCAATTCTCTCCTTGCCACCCTGATAGATGCTCTTTGAAATATTTCCTTATATCAGGGGCGGCTTAGTCTGCAAAGACACTGATAGTGAGAGCGTTATTAAAATTTTGGGGGGCATCCCCCCATACTCCAACAAAACCTGTTGCAATCTTCCCCAGAGTTGAGTCCCCAGAGTCACTGGGGTGTTCCTCTGGCCTCTGTCTACAATTTTTTTTTAATTTTAGTTCAATTTACTCTTACTTTGTCACAGACTCTAATCACATTCATCAGATCTGTAATCACATTTATCAGATCTCCAACCACGGTTTGGTGATTATCTCGTTTGATTGTTACAGTCCCAACCAGGATCAACCTGAGGCCAGGCAATCTGACTTTCCCCGGTCTGTAGGGTTAATTCCACATTTCTTTCAATTCCTGAGGCCAGGCAATCTGACTTCCCTGGGCCTGTAGGGTTAATTCCACATTTCTTTAAATTATCTTTCTGTCTGGAGGAACAACTCTCAATAACAGGTTAAGATGGACCCAGGATGGATTACATCCCGAACAAATATTGAAAAATAATAATACACATCAACTTGCGTCTTCCTTTAACCCAGGCATCTGATTTCCCCCCATAACCAAATCTCCGAGGTTCCAGGGGTGATGGGTGTATACATGTAACACTGAGGTTGGGGGAAGAACATTTCGCATGTACACCCGCCCACACACACACCTGGCTGCATTGCAAGAGAATTAGGGATAATGGTAGAAACCAGAGGGTAAAGCCCAGCAGAAGCAGTGGGGACAGCAGACACAATTCAGGGGGAGGGGGATCAACAAGTGATACAGAAGGAGGAGTGTAGGGTAGTGCAGAGACCAGCTCTGCAGGTGCCTTGGTTAAATTACTCACAGTCGCTGCAGCTGAACCTTCGTCCTCGAGGTTTTCATACTCTTTTTCGACCATCCTCTTTCTGGAGGCCACATATCCAATTATCCCATACATACCAATAATCCAATTGTAAAGGTCCACGTAGTGACCAAATTTCCTGGGAGTCTCCACCAGCAGTTCTAGTACTATACGGCCATTCCTCTTGGCACAAGGCCATTGTGCGCTTTTTACCTAATTTAGCTGTACCATAAAGCTTTCCCCAATTTTGCAACACCTCGGCCAAGGGTATCCCCTTTTCTACGCTGAGCTTATTTCCCTTTGAACTTTCAAGGAGTAGGGAGACCCTCCCGTTGAGTCACGAGGTTCCAAGTAGACCCCCTTGCTTTCTAAACTCCTCCTCTGAGAGGAGTCCAGGTGCGGCTGGGTTTACCCCCAGTCCCAGACTTGGTCAATGGTTTATGCCTAATAGATATCAGGAGTGAGTTATCTATTCTATATCAGGAGTCGTGTTATGCTGATCAGGCTGCACATCACCTCTGTCTCTCGGTGCTCTTTACGCTGATCAGGCTACCCACTCTGCTCCCAGTGCGCTTTATGCTGATCAGGCCACGCACTTTGTTCCTGTGAAAAGTTGCAGCAAGGAGGGGACTTGAACCCCCTACAGTATTTTCTCCAACTCTGCTTAGGGAATTTTAACACTCACCCTTTGATGTCTCCCACTCCTAAGGTCCCAGGTGAACTCACACGATGCCGGCAGTTGGACATTTGGAGGCGAGAGGATCCAAAGGTGGTGACCTAGGGTCCCATCTGGCTGGCCAAACTGTTAAAGAACTCTCTTTACCCTAGGTCTCCCGCAGCAGAGTCTCAGACTTCCGATCTTAGAAAAATAATTAATTTATTTGGATGGCACAACAGAATGGTAGCTCAAGCTGGGTACCTCTGGAGAGGGACCCCAAAACAAAGAAAACCTGGGGTTTTAAACCCTTACAACCTATGCACCCCCTCTCCAGGCGGCCTTCACGTGCCTTTCGGTCCAATGGTCAGTCTCTTCACGTGCTGTCCACGCGCCCCTTGGTCCAATGGTACTTCGTGGTCTGGGGGCTCAGCTGTTTCTCTTTGGTTCTCTGCCTCCAAACTTCTGATGGGCCATTTGTTGTCCTTATCTCAATGGTTTGCGGCTTCTGCTGGCAAAGTTTCCTCCTTATCTTCTTCCAGACCGGCCTGTAGCCAAGCAACCAGGTCAGGATGAATTTATGTTATGTGACCTGGAATTCCTTCTCCTGCTAACTAATGCTAACTGAAGTTATTCTGACAAAAGAATACATTTAAAAGAATAGAGTAGAATTAAAAAGTTAGGTTGATTAAACTTATTCTGTAACACTGGGCTTGAGAACTCTGCTTTAGTACTGCCTTTGTCATAGGCATTAAGGTTGGTCTTTTAAGTTGATTTCCAAAATGCTTTGCATTTTTATAAACCAGTTGAAGATAGAGCAGTGTCTCTACAACGCTTGATATTGCTCATGTGATGACTTAGTCATTCAGAGTACCTTACTTTGACATGGAACACTACCATGGAGGAAGGACAGATGGTAGTTTATTTTCTGGTAATCATGACACTAATAATTCATCTAGCTCTGCAAGCGGAATTTGAAATGGCTTTTTATAAACTATGACTGGGGTCCAGAATGGTCTTGTGGATTTGATGTGAATGTTTTCTAATGAGTGTTGGAATTTAACCTTGATCTGTACATCAGTTATCATGAGTCCACTCCATTATGAACTTTCTTGGCATGTTGGTGTTGAAAGATCTTTGAAGCTGGGCAAGAAAAAAACCATTGTGTGAGGTCAGGTGCTAATTCCAGTTTCAAGAACGTGTCTTTGATAAGCAGGATTAGTCCAGAAAAGTGGTTCAGCATCTTTAACTGTTTAATTAAAACAAATGCTCCCCTACCACTCTTCACCCCTCCGCCCAGTACCATCATCCTGCATGATGTCATTATTAAATATACTAAAATAACTATCAAGGAGTGTATCTGATTGCATTACAATTCAGAAATCAAGTCAGATTAATGTGCCCTTACAGTTTAAAATGCTGCATAACATATGTGGCATCCTACTTAAAGAACAGCAAAACATTTTTTTTCCTTTAAGTTCAGATACATGAAGAATTGCAAAAGGAAATTAAGCCTGAGTAATCAATGCATAAAGTAATTGAGATGTGTAAATATCTTAAGGGAAACCAAGTTATGAGATAACGAATTTTGTCAGATCACTAAAAATTCCATGTTTTTCCCCATATGCTGGCTAATTCTTCCTTTCTATGCCTCTGTAGGGATATTGTACTGCAGATTTAAGGAACTCCTAAGTAGCTGTATGGCATATGTACCATGTGTGAGAAGTGACAGATTATTTATTTATTTATTTATTTATTTATTTATTTAAAGTCTTGAAAGAAACTGTGAAGTTATCCAGTGGATTGTGTGTGATTCAACGCTTCAGGAATGCTTTCATGGAGCTCCTTATTCTGAGCATCCAATAGTATAGGATCTCCATTATTATCTCTTTCCGTATCCCTGAAACCCATACAAGGAAAGCATTGAAAAAGAATGTGTAAAATAACAGGTTTCTTGATCATAGAGAAAATTCCCAAAGAGCTACTGGGCATGAATTGTCCCTCAACATACACAATAGTCTTTGAGTAGTTACCTTAGAAGAGGCTGGGGCTGCTAACTGGGAATTCACCAGTCTCCAGAGAAGGCCAGCACACTCCTGGAGATGCCTGGGAGCATTCCAGGACCTGCAGGACATGGACATGCAACCAACATCAACAAAACTCCTTGGATAGTTACCTTGAAGGAGTCTAGGGCAGCCACCTGAGAATTCACCTCACTCCAGAGGCGACTAACACACTCCTGGAGATAGGTGTTTTCAGGCTGCTGCAAAGAAGCCACCCGAGGAGTCCTGTGTGTGTTGGAGGCAGGTCCATGCTCTGTACCTTGCCGGGAGTCCTCCCAGGCAGATCTGCAGTCTTTTGGCCTGTTAACTAGCTTAGTGCCTTCATGTGCTTAGTTGCATTGTTTTAGGTTCTTCAAAAGGGCTGTTTGCTGTAAGCATTTTGGGGGTGAGTCTTGGAATATGTTTTCTCTAAAGTGGCTTGTGAAGAGAAAGAACAGTTTTCAGGCTTTCCCTTGATTCTTAAGATTATCAAAATTTTGGTTTTCTTTGCTCTGCCTTTTTCTGAAGTTCAGGTAGTCTTGGGTAAGGTCTGTTTTGGCATCATAATAATGTGACTTTTTTAGGGTAAGTTGGAGGTATTCAGCCAGCTATTTGAAGCCTTTCCTTAGTGCATTTTACAAGCTGAGTGTAGTCTGCTGCAAGGGGTATTTCTTTGTGTGCTTTTCTAAGTCAAATTCTTGTACTTAGTAATGTTTGGATGTTTCTCATGTCAAATCTAACTGTACTTTAAATGCTGGTATCAAGCATCCCTATATAGTGTTTTCCTACAGAAACAGAGAGTGTTGCTGGTGTGATTTCTAAAGATACTTCAGTCCACCAAGGAGTGCTTGATTCAGTGCAGTTCTGAGGTGAAAAAATGGTGCCTCCTACTCATGGGGCTACATGCTGGTGTCTGGTTTAAGCTGTGATAGCTCCTAGGAAGGAACATCACCACATCTTTCTAGATTTTCAGAAAGGAGACTTGCCATGAGGCATTAGGATGATACAAGAGTTTCAGTGCTGGGGCAGGTGCAATTGGTTAGCTGACCACTTTCATGAAGCTGAATTTAGCCTTATAAAGGAATGCCTGTTACCACTTCTCATGTACAAGTAAAAACACCTTTAATGCCAAAAGGGAGTGGAACTTAGAAGAAGCCCAAATATTTTTCAGTACGACCAGCAATAGTACCCACAGTACTTTTGGCCAGCATCAGAATTAACTATCTTTACCAAAAGCAATCTAAGGAGCCATATGAAAGCACATCTTAATCCCACAGTTTGATCTAATATCAGTAACTGGCTAAGCATTACTACTACTTTTGCAAAGCATTTGAAACTCCTTTCATTTCCTTCTATAATGACATAATTCTCACTCTTCAGAACCATGTGAGGTTTTTTTCAGCTGTGTCTTCTGCTTTTGAAAAGTATTCAGGAGCAACTACTACATTTGCAAAGCATTTGAAACTCCTTTCACTTCCTTCTATGACATAATTCTCACTCTTCAGAACCACGTGAGGTTTTTTTCAGCTGTGCCTTCTGCTTTTGAAAAGTATTCAGGAGCAACAGTGCCATGACAGAGTCATAAGTACCAATATTGACTGCAGTCTGCATTCATCTCAGTATAGGCAGCTTGTAACAGCTTAGCCCTGCGGCGTCGGACTGGGCAACACCATTCCTTCCTAGTGAGGTTGTCTGCTTCATGTAAAGTGGCATACACTGGCTGTTCAAGCAAGTAACAGATTCAACAGCACAAATTTTTATTTTGGTATCTACAAGGAAAAAGCATTTACGTAACTTAAAGCGACGGATATTCTTTGAATCAGTAGATACACTACTGATCAGAGGTAATTCTGACTGGGAGGCTTTAAGTCTCAGGAGCTTTAAGCATTCAAAAATAGCATGCACTCACAGTTTCCCCTCATTTTCTGCCATCCCCAAAGAAAGGAGGCTGATGAAGTCATAGGTAGAAGCTAAAACTAAAGATGGATTTCAAATGGCTCAGAAGAGGAAGAGCAGCATAGTCACACATGAAAGCTTCTTAGATATAGTCTAATTTTTGCTGGTACTGTGTGTAGCAGAGGATCAGTCACTTTATTCTTAGTAAGAACTCTTGTGTAGCCAAATTCTAGAAAAAAATTAAGTTTCTAAATAATAATAAAAGATGAGATTGTATAAACGCATGTTCAATTAAAAGTGGGTCCATGCTTTCTAGTTTGTTATTGTAGGTACATGCACAGCTGCTTAGGAAGAATACCTCTACTAGTGCCAAAACCCTATTCTGCCATTTGCCAGAGTGCAACCTAATATTGCTATTTGAAAATCTGATTATAATGTCCAGAAAAGTCAGCCAGAATGAAAAAAAAAAAAAGGAACACACTGAGTATAGGCTTAGGAAATAAAAATGAGAAGGCTTTTTCTTGAATTAATTGAGCATTATAGCAAAAGAAGCCTTACTGACAAGGAAGGGTATCAGTTAGAGAAATAAAGTAGTCTGGCTTTAAAACAAGACATATACATGCATGACACCACACAACTTTCTGTTAAGCTGTACCTTTGACAGAAGTACTCAAAACTTCTAACGCACAGCACCCTATACAGCACCAGTGTTGGTGAATGTTGTGTTATCTTGCGCTTCCCACTACTCACTTAGCAGTTTGAACCGTGTTCTGAATTACTCCATTTGATAACACAGCCTCATTTTACTCATCCAGTTAATCCTTGCACTCCAGTAGCTATTCATGTGACAGATTGTCACGTTTTAATATATAACATTCACCTTTGATATATTCAGAGAGTGACAAAACTTCTATTCATCTGGCCAAGTAATTTCTTCAGATAGATTAATGACTCTGAATCCTAATTAACTTGCTGCCAAATGCTGTCTAAGCAACTTCCATTGGAAAGCACCTCATTTCCTTTCCCTATGCACTTGACTTAGCATGAAGGTACTTGTCCACCCTGCCTCAGCAAATAAATACCAAAGAGACATGACATTACTTTTTAGATGTTCTCAAACTGCAACAATATCTTGTGTTTGTTACATAGTTTAGGATGTTGTAGTGAATCATACTCTCATCACACTGACTCTACATTTCTTATTAAGGATTCTTCTGCTCTTGATAAAATTATAGCACTGATTTAACTGCAAGATAAGGAGGTGATGTATAAAAAGGCATTAGAGAGGAAAAATGTTGAGACAACCAATTTGTTGGGATATGTAAGAGAAGCTGAAAGTAGGAGTGAAACCAGAGGATTAGTTCTTCAAACTTTTTGTGTTTTTTGCAAGCCTGTAGACGTGTAGAAATCTTGGCATTCTGATTGATCTGTGGTCGTTATTAGTTAGAATGCAGAAACTTCCATAACTAACCAACAAGCTAATTGTTGGTCAGCAGTTCAGCAACCTTCCCATATTGTCCACACTATCTTCAGAAGTATAGCCGTTGGTACTTACTATTCAATAAATATGCAACACTCTGCATCAGCAAAACATTTCTAGCTTTGTTCTGTTGTCTTACAGAAGTTCCTAAGCTTAGGCAGTTGTGTCAAACTGTTTTCCATGACTCCCATAAGTCAATTGAGCACTGATTAATTTCAGACTAGCTACTATATTTCAAGGTCATTTATGTATTCAGATACACTGAATGTTTTGAAACATCAATTCTGCTTCTGACATGATAGTAAACCATACCAGTTTAAGTCAAAAGAGTTATACTTAAGGTTACTTAGAAGTCCAGCGTAAAAAAAAAAAGTAGGATTTTTTCTGCTAGAAAGCTCGTGAAGGTGTCTCTGTACTGTATTCTTACACATTAGGACAGAGGAAATTATTCGTCTTCTGCGTCCCATATGACACTGCTCTGGTGGGTTCCTTAGTTGTTTTTTTTAGTTTTAGCTCTTTTAAGAAACAGCCAGTCTCATTAATGGATCAGAAATCTTCATGCGCAGCAGTGGCGCTAGTCATGATTTTTATCACATTTTGTATTTGTACATATTAAATCCATGTCACTACTTAAAACATACAGTATGACAGCTGATTTCTGAAAAAGGTTTAACAGCTTTAAGACTGAAATCGACAGGCAGAGCAGTTTTGCTTTAGAAAAAGTCTCACCCTAACATTTAAAGGTGCTGATATCACAAGAGTAATAGGACAAAATACAGCTGTGCTTATAATCATTGTATCACAGTCTGTGAATGGATAAACGATACCCTCATTCCAGTCATTTAGTTCATTTAGCACTCTAGGAAGTTCTATTCTAAGGAAGAGAGGATGAAAAGGCATGGTGAAACAAATGCTCATCTGGAGTTGCAGGTGAGCAACAAAAGCCTTGTTGCTGTCATGTATGCACCCTATGTCATACAAACCCTCATTAGAGGAAATATGGCTGGCTGAGAACACACCCTAATTCATAAAAGCACTGCAGTAACCCTAAAATAATTGATACTGGTGTGATGTGGGTATGCATCTATTTGCTCTGTCTGTAAACCATTGAAATCTAGAACTAGTATTAGAGTCTTGCAACAGAACTGAAAATTTACTGAGAACTAAATGATGATTATGTGATAGGTTTTATTATGAAATGAGGCCATGTGAGAGGGGAGTCTCCCACTGATGAACTGATTTGGCACCAAAGAGGATATCAAATGCCAGAGCCCTTCTTCACTTTCCTTCTTTTTCTTGTACTCTATGTTCTTGTCAACTCTCTATACTCCCAGGTTGACTGAGATAGAATGAGGCAAGACTGTGACTGTGATCTTTTTTTGGTGGCTGAAGCATATGGCTGGCAGAACTTAGCACAGAATCTATGGAGACTAAGGAGTGTCTTTAGTCAGCTCTTAGGCCATCTGCCTGTAATCTTGGTGTTACAGCAAGAACTCCATCCAGACCTATATTATTGTTGAACATCCTGGATTCCATAAATATCCTTGTGCAGTCATATCAGAAAATATTTTTTTCTCCAACTAGGATTTTGACTACGGTGTGATGTTTGTTCTTTTTTTTTTAAATGCCTGAGTATCAGATTCTATGCTGCTTTTCTAGTTCAAGTGGTTGGTGTTTGTTTAGTACTAAGCCTATCTTTGTGATTTCTGCTTGTCACCTGTCTGTATGGTGGTAATTGGTTTTGCTTTTTGGTTTTAATCTTTCTTCTTTTTCTCGCTTTGTGAATTCTCTTTCACTTGTCAGAGATGCAACTTTCACTATGAATCCCATGGAATCTTTCTTGTAGGTCTATAGGATAAACACTTACTATGAAGAAGACTGATCAAGAGTTCAAGTGAGAACTTCTTTCTTTTTAGGTCATTCTTCACCTGATATTTATTAATGATATCTTAAAAACTTTAGAGAAAAACTTTAAATCAAAACTACTTGATTTGACTTGCCAAGTGATAATAGTAATAATACCTGTCACATCTCACAACCAAGTTCTGTGGTTGAGAAAAGTTTATCTGCTCATCCAGCCTTTAACGTTTTTATTTAAAATAATAACCCCTTTCTTCTGTCCATTTCCATTCTCTTGAGAAAAGTTGTTGGCCCTTGAAATGCAGTGTTATGAAAATGAAATTACTTTTATTTTTATATTGTTTAGAAGTTGGTGGATATTTAAAACCTATAGTGTAGGTAAAGTTATAGAATTGTTCCAAGTATGTATGCATAGGGTGGCTTCCTGGTTTATAAAGTTACTGAATTCTATGTAAAGGTTATGTTTGTTTGTAAATGAATACATTTATAGTTATGGAGCATGAAAAGTAATGCTGAAATATGAACATAAGAACAAGATAAATAAGTGTATGATGGCAGCCTGGTTTTGGCACCCAAATAAAATCAGTCGATTAAAATGAATTTTAATTTCTGATCAACCAGACAAAACCCCCTCTTCTGAAAAGCGCTGTTTCTGTTCTAACTAGCACAGATCACAACAGAAAGTGTCTTTAATGTCCATTAGTCAGACATTGCTGGTGTACTGAGAGTACCGAGAGTCTTAGTGTTGTAATGCAGTAATTTTAGTTTGAAAATACTTTATATTTGAAAGTTGTATCTCTTACTTTGCTTATCCTTATTTCTGTTGCAATGTTAATAATTTTGAAGGCCTGGAATAGATCCATGTAAACTAATTCTTGGCACAAAAGAACTTTGAACATCCTTATTCATTGCCCAAACCAGGACTTCATACAAAAAAATTCAAACAAGTAGCTAAAATGCTAATTAAAGTTAGCTTCCTGTGCTGATTAGGGTTGCTCTAAATTTACATTTTCTTATAGTATAAACTAATCCTTTCTGTGTAGAACATCCATATCTGACTTTCAGCGAACTTCAGAAGTAATACCAAGTTATTCATGCCCTTGGTTGAAGAACCAGACATGAATCTGCTACAATATAGATGAAGAATCTAGGCTGGTTTTCCTCCTCTTGTCCCAGTAATTTAGAGAAATTTGCAGGCAAAAAGAGCTCAGTGAAGAGAACTCAAACTGTTGCCTAAACTTAAATTCTTACCCAGTTCAGGTCAATTCTGGTTGCTTTTTTCTTATGGTTCACACTATATAACATTTACGTGTTAACATTGTGTAAAGACTTTTTTTTTTTCCCTTCTTCTCCCTCTAATTATGATTTTGGTAGTTCAATAGAACAGCTGGTATCTGAAGGGATTACCTTATTTCTTGGTTTGGCTAAAACAGGACCAATTCTTCTTTCAGCAGAGTTTTCCTTCAGTTAAGTTTCTTTTAAGTAACTGCACTTTCTGAAGTTGACTACATGTTTTTCAGAGAGTCTCTGCTTTCAGAATTGGTAACTCTTGATGTTTATAGCTGTTACTAAAGTAACAGTGGGATTTGTATGCAGAAAGGCCCATGTTTATACTTATTCTTGTGGGAACCAAGGTCACTGCTGGCTGTCTTATGGTCCACAAGTGAAAAGATGTAAAAGGGTCGCACCTACGGAAAAGACAGGACAGGTGACCAAAAACTGACTAATGGGGTACTCCATCCTATCCACGTCAGACTCAGTATAAAGTTAAGGGATCATGGGGGTCAGCCCTTCTTTCATGGCCAGCATCCTGGTGGGACTCTGCTCGCTCTCCTGCCTCCCACTCCAATCCATTCATTCCTGAATCCTGTTCCTGTTGGCTGCAGGGTCCAGTCCAGGACATCTGGGTGCCCACCCTGCTGCATGAGCACTGTGAGCCCCTGCGGCCTGCAGTTCACTGAGCATCAATTGGGAACCTCAGTATTGGTTTTGTGTATTTCTGTTTCTGTTATTGGTAGTATTAATATTATTATAGTCTTTTTCACTGTTACTGTTTTATTAAAGTAGTTTTAATTTTCCAACCCTTAAGTCTCTCTCCCTTTTCTCTTCTCCTTCCCCTTCTGGCTGAAGGAAGGGGTTAATAAAGAGCATCTGCTCTCTGCTTTAAGTGCCAGCCCAGCCTTATGGTGACATCTCATTTTGTAGAAAAATTGAACGCTGTATTTCTGTGGGAGTAGGGGGTGGAGGATTTAGTGCATAGTGCCTACATCTTTTCGATATCATACTATGTTGAAAGCAGGTTTGTCATCAATTTCTTACCGTATAAGTGTTGCAGCAAGCCAGTCAGTATAATCAGAGTGTCTGAATATCTTTGACCAATTTCTTTCGTGAGTCTCCTAAATCCTATGACTTCAGATCTATTCCTTGCCTATATGTCTGCAAAAACTTTCTCTTAAAGTCTAGAATTTATAATACTGGCATTCTAATTTTGAATAAATAGAAATAGTGAACTCTGAACCTGAAAAGCTTTGCTAAGTGGATTGATGGGTGTAGTTAGAAGGAGAAATAAAGAATATTAATATCTCTATATGAGCTTTGCTGTTGTTGCATTGTTCTGGAAATCTGCCTTACTGCTATGACCTGATTGAAGGTTGACTGTAATTATTTTCTGTTGCAGATGAACCAACACGTTCATTGAGTGGTCTCATCTTGAAGAATAATGTAAAAGCACATTTTCACAACTTTCCCAATGGAGTAACTGACTTCATTAAAAGTGAATGTCTGAACAACATTGGTGATTCCTCTCCCTTAATTAGAGCTACTGTAGGTAAGTTTGCTCTTATTGCTGTCTTCTGCATACTGAAAATGTTACTGATATGGGTGAGAACTGCACTAGTGATGTAAAGAGTTATTAAACTCCTAAAACTGTTTGCTTCTGGTAATTGTCACTTCACTATGTTTTAATGCTGATACTTATTTTTAGTGTAAATATACAAAAGTCACGCTTTTGCTGCCTATTCTCTTAGAAGTGATTTAGCAATTCAGTTCATGTCTCTTGAAATATAACTGAATATAAGTTTTTTTGTCTACTAAAATTGAGCTTGCTTGCAATTTCTATACCTAAAAACAGGAACAAGGTAAAGGTCTGACTGCAGAACTGTTTCAGTACTCTGCTTGCATCAGTGTTAGCTGATTTCCTGTGTACCACCCCCCATATGCACACACATGCACATCCCATTAGGGAATCATCACACTATGCATAAGACATTCACATAATGAGTTTCTGTTTTCAAATACCTTCTGTCAGAAAACAGTGGATAAAGTGTGGTGTACAGAACATCATAGAATTATAGAATGGTTTGGGTTGGAAGGATTGTTAAAAATTAGTTCCAGTGAGAAGTTTTTTTGTTACATGGATTTCTGATTTCGTAGATACTTTGTTTTAGTATATATCTTCTGTAAAATATGCACATTTGCATTATTTTCACATATTTCTAGGTAACGTTGCTTTTCTGTCTGCTCTTTGAGAATATGATTTCCTCCAGTTACTACAATCATTGTAGTAATTTTCCTTGTGCACTCAAAATCAAGAAAAAAGTCAAATATATATATGAGTACAGTAGAGAAAATGGGGGTGGATGTCAGTTCAGAAAGAAGTTCAGCTTGTATAGGCTGGCTCCTCTTATAAAATAATCTACCAATTACTGCTCCTTTAGAATCCTTTGCTTTTTTATAAGGTTCCTTCTCCAGACACCTGGATTATGGACTAGAGAAAAATGTTTATCTATTAGCTTTTTCCTGCTGTCTTGTCACTTGTGAAGCTGCTTTACTATGAATTTTATTAATGTCCCATTTTCTTAATGACAGTGGAAACAAGTCTTTGAGTGGCAGGTACATTTGTGATTTCAGGCTGTAGAAAGGTCACACTTGCTTGTTTGTTCATAGGAGTTGTCAGTGGGGTACGATGGAGCTGAATAAAGAATGTATTCCAGCTCCATTTGGATTGCTGTCTTAGGGTTGTTTGCTGGTGATGGTTTGGGGGGTGGGGGAGTTGTTTTTTTTTCAAAACGTTATTCTTTGATTTCTCCTAGTACGAAATGTTTGTGAATTAGTAGCTCAATTACTGTTCAGCTTTAAGTGATCCTCGCAGGGATTATTCAAGCATGTATGAACTCTGAAGATGAGTAGCAACTGATGAACTGTATGCTTGCATAAGAGTTGCTACTTAGCGCATGCTTTATGCCCTGCTGTTTGAAGTAACTGACTGTTGGATCCGTGTAGCCTTCTGTCTTAATAGTGAGTTTGGTCTGCTACCCAGTGCTCTCTTGGTACTAGCTAGGTGTCAAGATATTACTACCTACTTAGGCTGTCTTGTTAGCATATTAGTTGGCACAAGCTAGTTAGAGCTGCTCTTTGAGATGCATACAGGTTTTTGCAGTTGAAGCACTATCAATTTAATGAGCCAATTGCAAATAAATTCTCTGGAATTTTGGGAGGAAGATGAGCAAGTACATCAAATTAGCATCAGAGATTTAACGCAGCATTCACTCTCCTTTGTGATCTCTAGCATCTAGTGCTAACCAGACAAAAGCTGATATCTTTTGGCCAAGATGGAGGCAAACTGATTAATCCCATCCTCAGAAGTCAGCTCACTGAGAATGAGAATGAGCATGGCAATAGACTCGATGTTAGAACTGTGACTTAAGACCAAATGGTAACTACAGGTTGTTGTATCCTTACTTAGCTTTTCCCTATTTTAATCCCCAAACGAGTAACAGTGTGGAACTTCTCTGTGCTGTGTGGTAGAGGTTTTAAAACCCCATGTGCTAATGTTGAAATATGGATTCAAGCTCAAGAAAGATAGCTGCCTGTGTTGAGGACCCACAAACTGACCATGACATAAATGGATCTATTTAGGAATTGTCTGTAACTGTTCTTAAAACTTTCTGGGGATTCTTATCTGGGCAGGACTTTAGTGTAGCTCCTGCTTAAAAGCAAGCAGGTGAAATAGTTTTGAGTGTTTAAGAGTAGTAGCAGGACTGGAGAGCTTCACTGCAGAAGGAAAGTGAAATCTAATGGTTGCCCTGTAAGGAGGAATTTTGTTATGAAGTTCAGCTTTTTAGGGTTAAGGAATTCACAAATCAACTGTAGGAGCTACAGAGGCAAAACACCACCCCAAAAACCCCAGCCTTCCCCCTGCCCTGTTATTGGCGTGAAAGTACTGAAGTGTAGCTGCTTTTTCTTTATGTTCAATTTTTTTCTTGTAGAACTGATGCTGTAAACTAGGGTTGCATGTAATTGAAACAGTGACATAAAAGATGCTGTTCTGACAATTATGCTTACGTTTTTAACAATTTCTGACATCCCTCTGAAGTTTATTCTCTCACGTGTTTACTGCTCAGTTAGTCCAGCTGCTATATTCGTTAGATTTCACATTTGTCAAGTGAAATATCAACAGGTTCTGTAATACTGTTTTGAAGTTCTTTATAAATGAAAGACCATCTTTATAAAAACTTTCAGTTTCAGATTTTAACCTTACAGCTTAGTATGTTGGTCAGAAGGTAGGGCCTGTTTTAACTGTCAGCTGTAGGCCAAACCTGTCAAAAAGCTGCAGGCTACTAAATTGATTATTTCTTTACTTGGATTATTCTTCTGAAGTCCATGTTTCTGTGTCTGAAGTGTTACAGAGAAAGCCACAAAAGCTAATCTCTGGTGTCTTCTGTACCCAGCTGGCCAAATAAAGCAGCAGGTGGGTGGGAAAAATTTCACGTTTGAAAGGCAGATGAAGCTTACTAGAAACCCATGAAGATTCCTTTTAACATGAACATAAGTGCCTAGAACTTAATTTTATGTGCCTGTTTCCTCATTGTTCTTGATAGTCTGATAATTTTGTGTGTGTGTGTCCTCACCAAAGTGTTTCTTTGTCATTTCAAAAACACTAGCACAGTGTTAAATGACTTTTCCACAGACTTGTACAGAAAGTTCATAATGACATGTATGGTCTCAACAGCATACATCTCCGTTGCGAGGGGCAGTGGCTTCAGGTCACTTCTTGCCTATGCATCTGGAAGTATTTCCTCCTAGGTTACCCTGTTGCTGTCTGGGATAAGCCTTTTGGAATAACACTTAAAATAGTTTTCAAATAGTCTTTCCTTCCTCTGTGAAAACTTGCACATATTGCATGTACAGCCAGACCATTTGTCATCCTCTGAACCACTTCTAGGACCTTTAAAAGATCTACAACCAACTTTTTTCCAAAACTATCTAGCGCTTTGAGACTTTGTAACTTCTGTCACATGTTAGTCTGGAGGAGCTCCGGGAATTTCATTATGTTAGTTTCTGAGCCTGTGTTAAGTCCACAAAAAAACCTGTGCCAGATTTAAGTTAGAGAGACAACTTTGCAATTTCAGTACTTTGAGGCAAGAAAATTCATTTATTTTGTTCTTTTTGTGAAGTTCAGCTTAATTTAAAAAAAAAAAAAAGTGGATCATTAAGATCCTGCAACAGTAAAATAAGTATTTTCTGTTAATGCATCTGATATTCTTTGCAGGACCATAATATTCAGGAGAAATGCAGTCTTTAAGACTCCATAGATCTCCATAGGCTTTTGGGAATCTTTTCTATACAGTTGCAGTTATGAAGAGAACTGGATACAAACTACTTCTGGAGCTGTAAAATTGTGTTTTACCTCTGTCTTCGTTTTTGCCCCTTGTCTTTGTGGGTTCTGCAGCCTATTGCATCAAAGGAAACATGATGCAAAGTTATCTTTTAGTTACTGTGTGTCTTGTCCAGAGTGTCCTTTGTTCCGTAGTCTTGTCCCATATGCTTGTGTATTTAACAGGAATCTTAACATTTTATTCCAAAGAAAAATGATATATTGTGATTAGCTCAATGAAAAAGCTTAGGAAAGCTTTTTTTCATCACTTGAGAGATTACTAGTCATAGTAGTATCAAATTCTGTGTTCATACTCATTAGAAGTAACTGCCAGTAGCATAATGGATTATGATACCTGTTTCATTTTGTCTTAAGGCAAAATGAACTCATACAAGGTCAGTCCTAGTTTATAAGCAGCCTTCCCTGTTCCTGTCACCTAATTAGTTTTTCCTGGGATTTCTGTATGTGCTGGAAACAGAATTAGTGACTCTTTGGGCTACCTATCTATTTGTTGGATCTCAGTCAGCCAACCCCTAAAGCTGGTCACTGGGTGACGTGCTGTGGTGGGTAAGCTCTTAGTGGGTATCTTGGTCTTTGAATGTGTCCTTAATGTTTTGTGCAAACAGTAAAGTTAAGAACATGTAACTTGCCACTGGGTTGTAAGTTTATTGAATGACAGATTCCCACATTCATGCTTTTGTATCATAATAAAGAAGACGTGACTTGAGGTGGATACTCTATATTTACTGGAGGTCAAGATTTGTACAATGTTTTGTAAACTCAGAGCCAAAGCTGCCCTGCAGTAATTTCATTAGCTGGAATGACTTTGTGCTTGATTTCTCATGTCTGAGCCTTTCATGGTAGCAGGAAGGAACAACCCACCTTTGCATTTCAAAGCCCTTAAAATACCATTTGTAATTAAATGTACTTCCTCTTTTTATGCTTGCCAGTTCTTAACAAAACGAGAAATTTATTAACTCCTTATATCTTTGAGAGGACAAAAATGAGAAAAATTGGTATGAAACATGTGAAGGTATGTGAGATCTCATTTCCTTCATCCCTCTTGATTCCTGTAGGCATTCTGATAACAACCATTGCCTCCAAAGGGGAATTACAGAATTGGCCTGAGCTCTTGCCAAAGCTTTGCAGCCTGTTGGATTCTGAAGATTACAATACCTGTGAGGTAAGGAGACTTATAGAAAATAGAAGATTATAATCTGAATTTGATTATTTTTATCTCTCTTCATAGACACTATGTGTATGTATAGCATTATGTGTGTATACATGCACATATATTCTCGAGAACAGTGGGTCAAATTTGATACTTTTTCTTCTGCCTATATTCCGTGTTCTTACTGTTCATTCAAACAAATTTGTTTTCTTTGCATAAAATCAGAATAAGACTGCAGATAGGTACTCATAGCATCTCAGCTGAGAAGTGTCCTGAAGTTACCACTCTGTGATGCCTGATCATCTTCATCATCAAGCTGACCCTGAATTTCCTCTTACTTAGAAGTATTGTTCATCCTTGTTGTAACTTAATCTGGAGAAGCAATCTGCCATTGCTGTATCAGCGTGAAATGAACTGTTTTGTTCAGTGTGTATGAAGGAAAATAAATAAATACCAACTTACTGTTTTAAACTATAAGGAGGAAAAAAGCCTTGTCTGATTTAAAAAAATAAAAATCCTGTGATCACACAATTTTAATTAGTTGATATGGTCTCCGTGAAAGTTTGTGAAGCATTTTGTATACAATAATACTCAACGATGGGATAATGGTCCAAGGTGCCATGCTGTTATGCAGTGTTTTAGTGCTACTTTCTCAGGAAAAAGAAAAAAAACACTTGAAAATGAAACTCAAATTGACAATCATATCCAGAGTTCTATTCTGCCCCGTAGCAAACCACAAGAGGAAATAGAGTTATATATGTAATTAAATTGGATACTTCTGCACCTGGACATTTATTTCTCAAATAAGAACTAGCTTTTAAGCATTTTTTAAAATATGATTGAATAGATGAGCATTGAATGCTGAAATTAAAATAACCACGTATGCATTACTGACTCACCCAGCTTGAGAGCTTACAGATGCCAGAATAAAGTGCTTAAATAAAAAGCCTTGAAGGCTGTTTCAATTTAACTCCATGTTTAGTTAGCTGTATTTACTGTGTTAAATAACTACATTTACTGTGTTGTGCTGAAATTACCTGTTCTGTAGAAAACCTGAAATTTTGCTTACTTCAGAATGTGAAAGAAGGGATTTTTTTTATTATTTTTTTTTAAACAGGGTGCTTTTGGCGCTCTTCAGAAGATATGTGAAGATTCTGCTGAAATTTTAGATAGTGATGTATTGGACCGACCACTCAATATCATGATACCTAAGTTCTTGCAGTTCTTCAAGCACAGCAGTCCAAAAATAAGGTACGTTTAGGTGTTGTACTACAGATACCTGTTACATTTCTATTTACATGAGCAACAAGGCTGCTATTTTGTAGATTTAAACATGTTTAAAACATGTTTAATTTTTTTAAATGATCCTGCAGAGATACACAGAGATTTCATGCATCAGTTAGTTCCATGTTTATCTGCTTAGTTAGTAACAACAATCTCAGTTCTTTATACACCTTCCAAACGTACAGTCAGCCTATGATTTTGAAAATGAAACCGTTTCTTTTAAGGTTTTGCATGTTATTATGAAAAATTCAATGCTGTGGTCAGAACTTACTATTCTGATTACGAAGAACGATTTTGCATTCATTTTGTAATGACTTCAGCAATGGGAGAGTCAAAATTAATTTGTTGACAATAGTTTCTGAGTTCTTGCAGAAAATTTTTTGTGCTTTAACTGCACCAAAACTTAGAATGCTCTTTATCTTTCAACTAAATTAAATGAAATGAGTTCATCATCTTTTCACTGTAAAACTGTATTTAATTTCTACAGAGTAACATAAGTATAAGATAGAAGAAAAATTCCAGAATTTGTTATTGCTAATATTCATTACAAAGAACGTTAGCTTTTACCATGAAATGGGCCAGCTGTGTGCCCCTGCCACAGAGAAGGCTAACGGTATTGTGGGCTGGAGCCTTGCCAGCTGGTTACGGGAGGTGGTCCTTGCCCTCATCTTCCAGGATAGGCCACACCTGCAGTAATGTGTGCAGTTCTGGGCTGTCCAGTGCAAAGGAGACATGGACATACTGGAGAGAGCCCAGCAAAGGGCCATGAAGATGATGAAGGGACTGGAGCATCTCTCCTATGAGTAAAGGCTGAGAGAGCTGGGACTGGGGGAACTCATCAATGTATGTCAATACCTGAAGGGAGGGAGCAAAAAAGACATGGCCAGGCTCTTGCCATTGGTGCCTAGTGACAGGACCAGAAGCAATGGGCACAAACTGAAACACAGAAGATTCCCTCTGAACATCAGGAAAAACTGTGAGAGTGACAAAGCACTGGCACAGGTTGCCCAGAAAGGTAATGGAATCTCCATCCTTGGAGATATTCAAAAGCCATCTGGACATGGTCCTGGGCAGCTGGCTGTAGGTGACCCTGCTTGAGGTAGCGGACTTGGACCACATGACCTCCAGAGGTCCCTTACTACCTCAGCCATTCTGTGATTCTGTGAAATGTGTTTTTTAACTCTTTGAAATTACACTGAAAGATTCTACAGCTTGGAGGTGGCAATTCTTTATTGCCAACAGCAGTAGATGGTGAAGACTAAGAGGAAGAATATAACTTGGAATGTATCATGATAGGATTCAAAGAAGATTTAAAAACTCACCTAAAATAGATGCACACTAAGAAAAGTATGTAACAAAGCATGAACTTGCTCTTGTGGAAGGATAAACTTAATACTTCTCTGGAGCTAAGAGAGAGAGAGAAAAACGTGTTTTTTCCTTATCGCATACAGTTTTTCACTTTTTTCCTATGCTGCAATGTTTGTGGCTTTGAAACTGTTAAACCAGTTTCAAGTTTAAAGCAGGCCACCTGCTGACCAACAGCCTGGTTTTGGTACATAGTGATGAAATATGAAAACTGTTAGAAGTGTCAGTAAAATATTTTATATTTAAATCTGTCAAGAGACAACTTTTGAACAATGTTTTATGAGACAGTCTTGCAAGAAATGTCTGAACAGAGTAGAAGTTTGGAGTTATGTTAGTAAAAATATTTTAATGGATCTTCAGAGGCCTTTACAGGTAGTTTTGCCTTGTGCCTTTAATTACAGAATTTGACATTTGTATCTCTCAGAATGAAAAAGACCTGTAAGTAATGGCTTTGCATGAAATGGAATAGAAGAACCCACACTTCATTTTTTAGTATGTTTCTACCACAAGTGTTTTAGTATGTATCCTACTACAAGTGTGTGTTTGTTCTAAGCTACAGCTATATTGTTGACACATACCAGTCTCACTAAATACTAAAAATATTGCAAAGGCATTTGGATATTTAACAATGAAGAAAGGCATGCTAAAATTTCGCCCTGTTGACTTGTATAGAATTGTTGATATCTCAGAAGATCAATAATCATAATATGCTCAAAAAGAACATCTTTACATACTGTTTGGAACAAATATGCCAGGTGCAGTCGTCATGCTCTTGTTTTTATTTACTGAATATTTCATTTTAAAATATTTATTAGATATATCAGAGTTTAAGGTGGTACTTAAAATGTGTTTTAGTGCTTGTTCTTGGTAATACTATAGATGTGCAGATTTGTTCCCTCTTGCCTCTAGAAGATGTTTGGACAATTTGCTTCCTAATGTTTTTGATGCCTATGTATAGTTTAGAACATGTTTTTAACTCATGAAAAACGTATATGTTAACTGTTCCATTTGTAGGTCTCATGCTGTTGCATGCGTCAATCAATTTATCATCAGCAGAACTCAAGCTCTTATGTTGCACATAGATTCTTTTATTGAGGTGAGTGTGCATTCTTGATTGGGGGGTTAAGTCAAATTACTTATCTGATTTATCAAGAGTTTTGAATTATGTTTTACAACCACCTCTACCCTCAAACTCCCCATTTCTGGTTGCCCATTCTTAGCTTCAGTCCCCATGGACTGAAGTTCATTCTGTGTGCTTGTGCTCAGACTCCATTAGTTTAAGCACTCTCCAAGCCCAAAAAATTGTATTTTGAAACATGCTGCTTCTTCATAAGTAGAGGAAACTCTTGTTGCATGAGGAGGTATAAGTAATGGCAGTAGTCTGCCTCTTACCTGTGTTGGAAAGTGCAGTACAAGGATCATCATGTCACTGAGTCTGTCTGAGTCTCTCTGAATACTGTTACTGAACATAGTTTAGAAGGGTGGTATTTTGGGTTATCTAGAATGTTTGATTTGCTGCTGTTATGTACTGGCAGAGTTTTCTGGCTTCAGAACTTCATTTACATTTAGGAGAAGAAAAAATCCAAGAAATACTGTTCTTGTGCCAGTGCTAATATCACGCAGTGTTTTGGTTATGTGTACAATAGACATTGAGAGTCTGAAGTGTTCATTTGCTAAACCATATGTATTTAATAAATGAAATGGTATTCTGAGGTGTGCGGTGGGAGAGTACAGAAGTACATATTTGCATACTTTAGTTTGCCAGTAATGTCAATTTAAGTACAACTTGAACTAGATGAACTGAGGCTTTTCAACTGGTATTACTCTCCAACAGAATCTTTTCGCACTGGCTGGTGATGAGGAGCCTGAAGTACGCAAAAATGTTTGCCGTGCTCTGGTGATGTTGTTGGAAGTTCGAATGGATCGCCTTCTTCCTCATATGATTAGTATAGTTGAGGTGAGTCTCGTTTCCCAGATTGCTTTCTGAAAAACCTGTTTGGGTTTGCAGAAATAATAACAAATAAAAAGCATTCATCAGAACAGGTATTTTACTCTTGCACTTGCCTAGTCTTCATTTTCTTTCAAGACTGAGATTGCAAAACTTTCTTCTTAGCCAACTTGACATTATGTTTCACAGGCAATGCATACAGCAGTTGTTTATTCTTCATTAAGTTAATCCTGAAATGGCTGGGATCAGCTATACTATGGAGCAGCCAGGCATTGCTTGACCCCAAGTGAGAAGATCATGTTAAAAATCTAGTGCTAGTGCTGATACTGCTACGGTTTACACATTGAAGCTGTCACTTTATTCAGCTGTGTTGACTGTAACAAGGATAAAGCATGTTATTTTATATAGCTGAGACGCTCTTTGAGCTACTAACAGCGTTGGCTCCCATTGCATTCAGTGGTAGAGAGTACTGTCATTTGATAGTTCCTTTACGGTTCTAGATTAGTGCATGGTACCAGAGGACCAATCAGCTCTGATCTTTGTCTGCTCAGCTGTTTGAGCTGTGAGTAATTTCCACATTTCTTGGAAATACTGGCAGTTTCTAGGTAGTGTTTACATATGCTACTTGCCAGAATGGAAATACAGCTAAGATCATAATGTTTCTCGTGCACATTTTATGTGGACAACCCACTGTCAAATTCCACAGGGACTATGTACAGACAACACAAAGAAGGTGTTAAGGTTTTTTTTGCTCCTGTACACAGGCATTGGAGGCATTGGAAATGCATAAAACTGAGGTGACCCTTGAAAGCCTTGGTCTGCTGTCTAGTCTTCCAATCTGTTGTCTGGAATTCCATGACACCAGGCTTGGCAGACATGTTCTCATATAACATAGGACAAGCAAGGATTGTTGGTACTTCGTAGTGGGGTTTTGTTGGTTGGTTGAGAGATTTTTATTTATTTTTTTTTGAGACAGAATAAAGCTTTGGAGGTGATATTGTCAAGAAGTGATACCTTCTCTGGCTCTTCACCCTCCTAAGATCAGTAAGGAGCTTCTGGACTTTGTAGGTAGACATGGTGTCGCCAACAGAATAAGATCCAAGATTGTATTCGTACTGTATCTGGTATTTTATTGTTGGGGAAACTATTACTAGGTTTCCTGTCTGCAAGGGACAGTAGTAGTGTTTTTCTGTTCTATAACAGAAAGTATAGACTTTTTAAATCTTTTTTTCCCAATTTTGGCACTACTGTATACTGTTCAACTGATTTCCCAAGTTCTGCATACATCCTGGTATGTTCAAATGTAATATCCCAGAACTGGCTGTTGTTCAGCATTCAAATGAGGTTCTGTACCTTTGAGGCTTTAGTGCCTCTGAGCTGAATGCTGCTGATGGCTGCTGTAAGTGAAGAAAGTCTTAAAAGAGAAACTTGTATCTACATGATGTTCTTTATGCTTATGGAGAATCACTTGTAAAGTAGTTGAGAATATTAATGATCCAGTAGTGATTCTAAGAAGGTCTTGGCAGGCATCATGCTTTTGAAACAGACAGGTTTAAACTTTCTTGCCAAATCCCTGGAGCATACAGGAATGGTTGAGTTTGGATTTCATTGGATTTTTTGAGCATGCACTTCCAGGTGAGCAGAAGCAATGTTTTTTTTTGGGGGGGGGGTTGGGGGGGGGGTTTTTTTTTTTTTTTTTTTTGAGAACTTGATAACAGGATATGTCATGAGTAGAGCAACTTATTATTTCAGTGATTGGATTGCACTTGTATGTTCATGGAGCGTATTTATCCAAACACGTGGCTCCTAAGATCTTTCTCAGTAGAGATCCTGACTTTTGCATCCTGTTGCTTTCTTCAGATAAAGGCATGTGTGTTGCTGCTCAAATGATGTGTTCTTCTTAATACTTCGTGTATCCTAGTATTCTTTTATTGATGGTTTGACTTAACAAGTCTAACACAACGTTGTGCATGTTAAGAGTACACAAAACCGTACTGAATAATCTTCCTATGATGTTTTGTAATGTATTGTGACAAAGTAACTATTTGCATTGCCTAAAGTCAGTAGAACTTTATAGCTTATCATGAAAAGTACTTATTAGGATTTGCTGTGAAATTATTTTAAAAAAAAAAAAAGCCTTCAAATACCCTTCCCACATTTTGTGTTGTTACTAGGGTCACTGTTCTTGCTAAGATTTCCATGCTGTGTATATGGCTATCTTACACCACTGAGTGTAATTAGCCTTTTCAATCTACGACTGTCTAACTTTATGGAGCATATAGTATAATACTTGTAATAGATACTTAAAGAGGAAATTACAGTGTAAGGAGCATCTTCAAACAGGTTACTTTTTGTCATTCTGTTTTTGTCTTCCTCACAAATAGTAAATCTACAACAAAATAGTGGATTTTCAAGTCTTCTGGGGGAAAATGCCAAATCTTTTAACTTAAGGTGCATTAAAGAAGCCTGGCTTGGAATGAGTAGGACATTTTTCAACTTTTCTGAGCTGCAATCTGTTGACAACTCAGAGTAGAGCAGTATTTCTGTTACTGTGAGTTCTTGATCATAATAGTGAACCTTTAGGAAAAGCTTGCAATTTAGTGAAATACTGTAGGAAGGGGTGCCGTTCATGGCAAGTCTTGTATCCCTGAAATGTATAAGGATAATAATGGTCCCCCCGTTCTATTTAATTTTGAGGAAAAAACGGTATTCTGAAGCAATTGAAGAGGGATTTCTTTTGCTGTAAATCCCTGTATGAGGAAATGTAGCTGCATGGACTTCCCTGAGGTTTTCTAAAATGAGTGGAAGAACTAACTGTTACAGAAATAAGGGCTGGCATGGAAGAATGCGGAAATTACTATTTTGGAAGTTGCGAGAGTCTTTCCTAAATTGTTTTTGACAGTGTGTATAAGAAACTGATGTAGCAGTAGTCTACTTAGGCTTTTTGTTTATGCAGGTATTTGATTATTTTGGGATGAAGGATGATTAAATTCTAATAGCAACCTTAAAGATTTGATACTGAATCTTTGAATTGCCATTCATGCTAGAAAAATGTGAGGTGTTTTGTCTTGTTTTTTTTCTTGTTTCCCTTTAGAAGGGAAGTTTTTTTTATGGTACTGGAAATAAAAAGTATTTCCATCTTATTAAGGGTATAGTTGTACCTTTTTATTGAAAAGTTCAAAGGAGGAGTAAAAAAAATTTAAAAAAAAAAATCTATTCACAGGAAACTGCTGTTTATTATCTTGTTAATAATGTTCTCACTTAAGCAATGAAGAAATTTAGACTCTGAATCATCTAACATTAAGAAAGAAGTCTCTTAGATTATTCTCATGATAGCCTTAGGTAATCTCTTATGTCAGTTTCTTTCCCTTGCCCCAAAGAAAATCGCTATGGTAGCGTAGTCAGGTTTTGCAAAGACACTTTGCAATGTTGGTAGCTTCTTCTGGACACTTAAGACTTCTATCTTATACATATTTATATATGTATAATATACATATATATAATATA